AATCAAACCAAACCGTATTGAAAAATGCTCTTAGGTGTTTTCAAGAGGACTTTCAAAGTTGCCAGCTGATTTAGCGACTTTTTTGGCAACTGCAACATCCATCTCCTTCTTTTTCCATTCATCGTTGATTTCGTTTTCCTAGAATAAATTTGAAAGTTTTTTTTCTTGAGCCTTGAGGATATAATTGTAACGCCAGCCATGATTGTCATTTTGCTGAATTCACTAAGACTCCTTTTGTAGTCAACATACTCCTGATCAATTATAATCTCTTGGTTGTAACGATCGCATGTGATTCAGTTGTCGTGACAAAAATTTCTGAACGGTCTGAAAAACTACTGGAACAACACTTTTTCAGATGTTCATTATGGAATTTGGACACGTTGAGTGAGGGTCTCCCGGAAATGCAAGACCTGCATTTTTTGTTTGTTGTTGTTTTTTTTTCAATTACGTTAATTGTGCAGGGAGTGTTGTTCTGTCGAGCTAGCTACGTTAGAAGATCACCCTGCTTGGCTGGGAGTTCATCGTGAGCTCGTTAACGATGACTACAGCCGGTAGCTCTTTCCCGGGTCTTGTTGAGTCTAGTGTCCACACCATGTCAGATTCATCAGCCTTTTGCAGCTCGCTATACGGACGTAACTAAGAAAGAGGGTATGTTCCTAGCTTGCATTGCTTAACATTGGTTTAAAAGGCTCAGTTAAATGGCAAAACAGCCGCTCGGTAACTCGCCAGAGTGATTTGAGGTTACGCGAGTAAACGTAGTGTGTGGGTGGATAGACAGAGACAAGACAGGCGTTGCAATAATGGCTATTTCGCTACAATATACAGTGTAATAGGCCTTCGTTTTATTTTCATATTTTTCTTCCTTCACCAGCTAGGATATCGTTCCACTTCAATGGAACTACGGCTTCCAGTAATTGAAATCAATAACTGAATGGACTTCACTCATAAATACAAGTCTATTTTCCTATGTCTGTTTTCTAAATGTGTCTATCTATGTATCTTAGTACAGGAGTTACAAAATAAATATCAACACCGCCTGGATATCAAATTTATACCTAAGTTTTGTATCTAAGTTTTATATTCTTACTCTATATCAAAATAGTTTTGTAGCAATTTTAGCTTTTAGATATGGACACACAACGGAAATTTACACTAATTACAAATCTTAACCCTAAATTAATAATAAAAAAATTATACATAAAAAGAAGAAACAAATCGATACGTATTGTAAGAAAAGGATTCTAGGTACACAATTTTTTCGCTCAATGTATATAATTCCGAGATCGAACGCAATTACAGTATATTGAACTTAATTCCAAGGGAATACTAACAATCTTCCCTGTTTAAATGGTGTCCATTCAAATCATTCACATATTCTATTTCCCACTTCCACAAAATTGACCGATCCGATTAAAAGAAACGAGCAAAAACTCCATATAAATTATTTGTCATCTGCGCTTGCCTTGGTTGTAAGCACTGATTGACACAGTTTATTGTGACTACTGCGCAGCCGCAGTAGATACTTTGCTATCATCTAAGTTCACGAACGTAGAAATAAGTAACAACAGAATGACATCAGAACAAATCAAAATCCATTTAGGGGTCTTTCGGAACAATTCGCTTCACAAACGTTTGACAATTATTGTTTCAGTTGGAATTAAGGTTGGTTTCCTTTAGACTGATGTGACTGCTCTGTTTTAGAGACCCCGCCAATAAACGTGACTTGGTCGTGCGTGTTAATCAGTGTTGCACTTTACGCTGGTCATTTGGATAGGTCTTTGAAAGTCTCACTGATTGGTTCACTACACTGCCTTCCTAAACTCTGAGAGACCGTTTTCAAAAATTACTGAGGTTTTCACAAAACCTGTCATAAATACAGGGTTCGGCCTGTCAATATTTACGTTTAAAAATAAATAAAAACTTAGACATTTCACCATGACCTGTAGGTATACCCTACACTACATTAAAAACTACTGCTGACCCAATCTTATAACTCATAATGTATAGGAGACAATTTGACCATCACTACCCCACTGGGGTTAACTTTGGCCCTGAAGCTTTTCTTGAATATGCCCAGGTCCTTGTGTGCAAAAAGATCCCGTGCTTTGGCCATGATGGTAGGCACACCAACCTAAAAGAAACAATAATAACAATATGATCAAGCTGAAGAGGGGAACAAGTACAATAAAACATCTGTAACTATGTGTCTTTTAAAGTGATCACTTGTTTCTGAAACTAAAATATCGTTTTGTTATCTATGATTCTATGTTGAATACAAGCAGTCCCTTGTTTTTGGCAAAATCCGTCACTGTTTGGTTAGTGAGTCAATTTCCATGAAAATTCGCCGGCTCACATTTATACTATTGAGTGGATAGAGGCACTGTAGGTAAGTACACTTTCACTGCCCGAGAAACTAAAACACCCAGTTCGGAAAGTATATATCACTAAAGATGTTTCCTGCTTAGAGCAAAAAGTAATTGTCACAATGATTTGCCAAACTCTACTGAAATAATAAAGCCTCAAAACTATCAAAGTCTCCATGTCAGAAATTTCATGTTTTAGCGGTACCTCGTGGAAGTAGGCCTCGATATGAATAGGCTGGTCTGTTCTGCGACTAGACAAAACAACAGCAACAGATCCATCATGCAGCTGACGACACCACACCTCGGTAAAACTCCTGGGGGACTAATCAATAAAACAAACGCAGATTCGGTCAGGAATGAGTTCCTGGCGATAGGAATATAACCAATGGAGAAAATACTGGTATGGCAAACTTTTTAAGTGAATGTCAAAAGTAGCCAAAGATTACATTCGTTTTGCTTCACCATATAGTGCTGCAAATGCCGCACACTGGCGTCTAAAATCAAACACTGATTGTCAAGAAACGGGCACTAGTGTCTAAAATCAGACACTAGTGTTTAAAATCGGATTTTGGATATTAGGGTGTACATGGCACACAAGTATAAAAAATTGGACACAAGTGTCTAAAATCGGACATAGTGTCTAAAGTCAGACACTAGTTTCTAAAATCGGTTACTTGTTTCTGAAATCTGGTCAATGGTGTCTTAAATCCAACACTATTATCTAAAATCGGACACTAGTGCGTAAAACCAAACAGTTGTGTTTAAAAACAAAAACTTATGTTCAAAAATTGGACATTTGGGTCTAAAATAGGACATTAGCCTCTAAAATTGGACGCTAGAGAATAAAATCCGAAACTGGCAACTAAACTCAGATGCTAGTGTCTACCATTGAACACTAGTGTCTTAAATCAGACCATAGTGTCTAAAATTGGACACTGGTGTCTAAAATGAGACACTAGTGTCTAAAATTTGACACTGGTGTCTAAAATCAGACACTTGTGTCTAAAATTGGACACTTGTGTCAAAAATTGGACACTTGTGTCTAGAATGCAGAAAATCATCAAAATCTAAATCTAAAATTATTAACATAAAAATGTTCTTGGCTGCACTTGGATTCTCACCTGAGACACTCGCCGCCCCATCTTTGCCAGTTTGTCCTGATTCACATCTATCACCTCCCTGACAAAAACAAAAGGAAAGAGATTGATAGTTAAATAAAAGGAAATCCACTGAAATTTGCCTAAGAGCAGGAAACTGGGGAGCAGCAATGATGAAGTGGTTGGAATGCTCGTTTTCTTACAGCAATGATGAAGTGG